ACTGCCTGAAAATTTAACCATACAACATATCATAAATGGTGAAATAGCAGTACCAGACATGGTTTCCCCTTTCTTTACACATCTACTAGTTGGTCCATACTCTAATTGTGGATAAAACAAAGTCAAGAGAATTAATTCCATTAGTCAGCATGTCATTTATTCTTTAACCAGGGGTGGGACTAAGCCATCAAAACACCTACAACAGGGTCTTTCAATGAAAAGTCTTAAAGGCAGTAAAAAGGTTAATGAGATTCTTAATCGTTTGGGACATACATAAAGTTACAATAGCATTGAGGAACTCGAAACAGAATTGACATTTACATCCAGTGAGCGCAACCAAGAAACACCCATTGGCATGATGGTGTCACCACACCTATCAACTTGGGTTACTTTCTTAAAACTACGATAGATTTGTTGAAATTCTTTCTGGTAAAGACACTCTTCATGATACAGTAGGCATTCGGGATTTTGTTGAGACTGACCATCAATCACTAATAATTGCCTTGTTTTCTCTTGGTAAAAGTGAATTCATTCCTTCTGGAGTAAATAGTTATTGAAGGATTTGTTTGTTATATCTATAGGATGCCTAAAAATGGATGTCTTTCTGGTATTAAAGGTATAGAAGCAAGCCCTTTGCCGCCATGCTCACAGGTATTAACTTTGAAAATCAAGAGAGCGAATTATATTTGTAGTGTCTGGATAAATGCTTCAAAGAATAATCTCCCCAATTTCCATCCAAAGAATAGAGGGTGGGTTTGAAATGATGATGGGGTGTATGAATTAAAGTGGTTTGATAGTGATGTTGCTCCCGTGTCAGTTGAGAGTATTTTCATAGATGAAGATAGTGACCAAGAAAGCAAGGACTCCGATGACGAATCAAACAATTCTTGTAGTGACCATAAAAGTGTGACAGATTAACTATTGGCATCACCCAGCCACACTTACTCACTTATTTTAAATCATTTAAATGTTGTGCGTAACAAATATTTACCAATGAGGAGGAAGGATAACTAAAGTTATATGTATTAGAACTATAAATAGATTTCATAATTTCAGTAATTCATCACTGACTAACATTTTTTAAAATCCATTAGGTTGTTATTCATTATTGAAGATCGGGAACAGCAAAAACTATCGAATTCAAACCAAAGCAACTTATTAATCCAATAAATACCTTCGAAATATTTGTTTAAATTGTCCACTTTGTTATAAGATATTGAATAACATTCTGAATCATTGTTGAATGGGTTGTTGTGATGGAATACAGAACGTTTGAAGACATAAATTTAACATCAGTCCTAACTATCTATTCATAAGAGGTGTCGTGAATGGGATATGACATGCTTACTCTTCCTAAAACACTTGATACCATTGCTCATTTTAGGATTTCACATAGCTAATAAACATTTGTTCTATTCTTGTGCTATAATTTTGAATCTTGATGCGGTTTAACAATGTATTATTGATATTACATTATTATAAGCTTTATATAGAGGGGTTGGGTGGGGCTGCAATTTTAAGACCTGTCTGACTTGGGGAAAGCCCCCACATTTATGGTTAGATTTTCGAAAAATACATTTTTCATGCATGGAACAATATTTCTGGTAAGTTTCAGCCATGTAACTGATGACCATATAAAAAGTCCCACTTTTAGGGCGTGGCCAGGTGGGCTTTAGGACGATCTGACTTGAGGAAAGCCCCAACATTTTTGGTTAGATTTTTTAAAAATATGTTTTCCAAGTATGGATCTTTGTTTCCAGTAAGTTTCAGCCATGTAACTTATGACCATATAAAAAGCCCCATTTTTAGGGTGTGGTCGGACATACTTTAGGGCGATCTGACTTGGGGAAAGCCCCCAAAGTTTTGGTTAGATTTTTGAAAATTGTATTTACCAAGTATGGATCTTTGTTTCTGGTAAGTTTCAGCCATGTAACTTATGACCATATAAAAAGCCCCATTTTTAGGGTGTGGTCGGACATACTTTAGAGCGATCTGACTTGGGGTAAGCCCCCAAATTTTTGGTTAGATTTTTGAAAATTGTATTTACCAAGTGAGGATCTTCGTTTCTGGTAAGTTTCAGCCATGTAACTGATGACCATATTATTAGCCCCGTGAGGCGATATTGGGCGTGGTCTGACTTGGGGAAAGCCCCGGAAATTTTGGTTAGATTTGTGAAATATTTACTCCGACTATGGATACCATTGTCCCTACAAAGTTTCAGCCATGTAACTTATGACCTAATTTTAGGCCCCCTGGGGGCTACTTTAAGGTGCTGCTGCGGCTATACGCCCCAGCAGTGCCCGATCTGACCAACTGATTTTTACTCCTACCAACACCTGCTACCAATTTGGGGGATCAAACCTTTTGTAACTGATGACCATATTATTTTGTCATTAGCTCCTGGACTATAAATGGATGATAAATCCCGCGGGCGCAAAAAACAGTGTTGGCGAGGGTCCATGAGGCAAAGCGCACCATTCACTGGATAAATTACATATGTTTAACCGATTTATTACAACTGGAAAAAGCGTTTCGTTGTCCTTAGAGTTCCGGTAAAACAATTTGTAGATTAATTGACTTACTGTGATAGTAATTGTGTGATGTTTAAAAGAAAGCAGTTCATTATCTCATTAAGCGAAACAGTTAATCAGTAATCTGAAGTCTATTACACATGATGACTTATTGTCTTGATTTCGGCCAGGTTTAAAAAATAGATTTATTGATTTTAGACATTGAAATAGAATATTTGAAACTAAAATCCCCGAAATGAAATATTTTTGTTAGTTTTAGTACGAAAACATTAAATGCTGAAAATCATAAATAATAAAAGATTTCGGGTTCCTACTTCAATATCAAAAAGCTATTGAAAACAAATTTTTGACTCAATCTAAGAATTTTCCAGACTATATGCTATCAAAAAGCTTATCGGAACAGAAGCAAAAATTGACTTAAAGAATGGGATGTTTGTTTTCGAATAACGGCTGCAGCTCTACGATAGTAAATGCAATTTATCCTATTTTTTTTTTATAAAGGCCCAATTACAACGGTGTTGATAGTCTTTCATGTCAGTCTACACGTTAACACATCTTAATGTTCACATATAATTAATCTTCATCAGTCATTTAATCTTGTCATCAACAGTAGAATTTAGTGCAAAGATTACATTTCTAGATCATAACAGCTACCATAATTGTGCTGGTCACAGACCATGTTCACGTTCAAGACCGTACTCTTTAACGCAAGCTAATTATAGCTCTAGATCAATTTGTAGAATCTTAGTTAAACATGCGTTCTGCTAAAGCTAAATCTTAATCCTATTGGAGGTCCTCCTTTAGGCCTTAAATGTTATCTAAATTATTAATTAGACCTTAATTAACTTACCAAGATCATAATCAAATCTCGAGGTCATCGGATAAATGGGATTTTTAGTGGATTTGAATATGTTTTGTGGGGAATAAAATGACCGTAAAATGGATATTATCGTAACAAAGGTAGTAATGACGACCGAGGCTAGCCTAAAATTAAATCGCTAATATCTAGGTTAATATCTAGCGATTTAACTGAAATTTTCAGGATATATACTCTTTTCGTTATCTATTTTTTTAAGTATAATAGCGAGAACTGTCAGCTCCTTATCTAATCTTACCTAATGCCCCTCTAATGACAGTTATTATCTGATGAAATTTATATGCATTACTCGTATTAGTGATTATCTGACGTGCTTAATATATATAAGATGTGTACTTTGTTCAGATAGGCCAACTATAAAATTTCAAAAGTGGCCGTTAATTACCTATAACGGCTCATTCTATAGAACCTTGTGCATACATTGAAAGACATAATATGATCTACTTTAAGTCATTTGTCATTAGCCATTATACTAGCCTTGTCAGTGTCTCTATTATAATATCTTTATTTCTGAGTTAGGTTGCCATTCTTAAATTATCACCCAGTTTCACAATAAAATTTCCCAATTGACTAACGTAACCATGATGAGCAAAAACAGTAGTCAGCTCCAGGCTACTTACCAATTTAAATCGAAACTTTCAAGCAGGTTAACGTGGTCTTTCTTCACATATTGGCGTTTGATTTATATGCTTGAAATCCCGGAAAGCTCGATATCTCCCGCGCTCTCCAAACAAACGCCTTTTCTTATCTAAAATCATCTAATTATTTTCCGTTTTAACCTATTAGTTGACTCTCATTTTGTAGTGTTTCTCATTATACAAATTAACCTCTAAAGTTTTTGTTTTTTGTATGAAATTATTAGGCAAAGTAATAAAAAGATGACGTGTTAAGTTTATAATACAATTACCCTACATTTTCTGTGATTATTTGCTTAGCGTACCCCACAAAGAGGTCGTGATTAGAGATACTATCTAGGCATATATTGTCTGATGTATCATCAGTTATGCATCTTAATAAGTAATCACGAATTCTAGAATGTGATATGACTTTGGTAACGTTACACCCATAAACAAGTTTATTTTTTTCGCCTGTAAAAAATGAAAAATACAAACTGCAGCACCCCAGGCGTTGACTGACAGGAGACATAAATATATGTAGATTAAACTAGAGGATAACTACTCGAGAAAAACCATTAGCATCCAGTAGCCTGTGATCTGCATGCCTTTCCAAGGTTTACAAAATAGAATAAGGAAAATGATAGAAACGATTTGTCGTTTTGATAACATCGCCCAAACACTTCAAATTACTTTGTTCTGAGCTCCACGCTTTATCACGAAAACATCAAATGAGCCATTTGTTTCTATGGGTCTTTGAAATGTATTACTAGCGTTTCTGAAGCCAAACGGCATGTTAACAAAAAAAAAAGATTAATGTCATTTTGTAACGACTTTTGTGTCATCTAAAACAATGCAACATAGTATTATTATAAAAATGGCTGACTCTTAAAAAAAAATCAGTATTTGATTTTCACTTATATCACATTAGAAGTAAATGATACTTATATTTTGTATTTATGTTATTTTTATTTTCAGTCTGTTATCTTCTCCAAACACTGTACCGAACGGGTCTGAGATTCCACGTAAAAAGAAGAAATGGTCGAAAAAACGCTCAATCATAATCTTGATCATATTAATAGTCATGATAGTATGGTTATTAGCAATTGGTATAGGTGTTGGATTTGGCTTACCCGAACTTCTAGAAGAAAAGACAAAACCGTTAGACCAAAATGAAACTGTGCGTTTGGGTGCAAGAAGTGGCAATGGGAATACGGGTGGTTTAACCATCAATATATCTCATGCAAACCAATCTGATGTAGAAATTAATAGGGAAATAGTGAGCGTTCGGGATCATATAGAAAAGACAACCGAATTGTTAAAATTTCAATCTACTACACGGGATCCTGTAGATGCTGAACGGACTAAATTAGAAAAAGAGCTTGAGCGAAAGTTAAAAAGAAAAAACGGCGTTGATCTCACTTACGTAGAAGATACAACAAAAGCTGGATTAAATACAACCGTCGAGTCTCGTGTACAGGTGACCACCCAATCAATTAGTTATATAAGCACTGAACCGACTAGTGTCAAGGTGACCACTGAGTTAAAATTAAACGAAACAAAAATCGTTGATAAGACAGTAGACGAAACAACTAAATCAAAATTACAAAAAGCAGGGGTCACTGACCAGACTACGTTAGAAGATATATCCGAACCAGAAATTAATAGTACCACAGATTTTCCATCCAAAAGAAAAAAGACTGTCCGATTAGTAACCGTAGGAGCAGTAGCTGCTGACCATGCTAAATGTTCAGATATTGGCAGGTAAAACCTAATCATATTACGTTACTCTGACTGACGATTTTATTATAAGTGAATGTACTTCCCAGTTATTTTATGAGATAAGTATATTGTTGTCGCCCCCGTTCGTCGGTCCGTCTGTCTATCGTCCACATTTTCTTGTGAACACTTTACAGACTACATTTATCATCGGATCTTTTTTTAAGATTTATACTTGCTGTTTACATCAGTGAGACGAAGAAGCTTATATAATTTCAATAATTTCCGTTAATTTTTTCTGGAGTTGTCGTCCTTGTTTTACTTTTGAACCGTGTGAACGCTCTAACGACAAAATTTATCATTTTGTAATGAAATTTATATGCCTCATTTAAATTAGTAAAACGAAGAATCCTATTAAATTTCAGCAATTTCCAATAATTAATTCTAGAGTTATAGCCCTTGTTTCACTTTGTTGATCCCTGTGAACGTGCGAATGGAGAAAGTTATTCGCAACATATCATTTATTGAAACGAAAAATCCTATTGAATTTCAGCAATTTCCGTCAATTACTTCTAGAGTTATGACCATTGTTGTACTTTGATTCTTGTGACCGCCCCAATGAAAAAGTTGTAATCCGATTTGTGTGAAATTTATATGCATTATTTCAATTAGTAAAACGAAAAAGCCTGTCAAATTTCAACAATTTTTGTAAGTTACTTCCGGAATTAAGGACCTTGTTTCAGTTTGTAGAACCTTGTGAACCATCAAACGACAAAAATTAAAACCTAATTTGTATGAAATTGTCTTGTAAATGCCCGCAATTACCTACAAAAGAATAAATTGTAATACAATTTGGTAATTTATGCGAAATTGCATCAGGCGAATATAAGTGCACCAGAGGACATGATTTATAATTTGATAAATACATATGTTTTATCTATCTTCTCCATTGTCAAAATATTAACTTTAGTACGAGTTTATTTGAAAACACAAATTAAATTGTTTATGAAATATTGTGAGAATAACAGAAAAATGGGTCCAAACATGTGATAGGAAAATTACCATTACATCATTGAGCTAAGTAACCAATCATTATAATTAATTACGTCATATATGACCAATTAGATAATTGAAAGCCGAAACCCAAGGGTAGAAAACCATCAGAGCTCTGAGTGATAGTTCAGACACCCATGTAGATTCCAGAGGGAAAGAAATAGCAAGTTCTATCAGCAGACTCGCACTGGCGAGTTCGGATGTGGGTGGTATAGAGAGAATGACTTTATTTTAATATATGCTTGTAACCTATGGATCCAGTGCTCGATATAAAAATGTAACCATAATCTAAGTAGGTTGTAAATTCACAACGTGGGATGTCCGTGTAATAACAACTCCCCACTCCCTGCCATCACTGCAGTTTAACATAGTAAAATTGTAGTTTGAAATGACCCCAATACTAGAATTACTGTCTGGATTCAATCGCCATATAAAATATTTTTTGTAGAAATGTGTTGGCAATTCTTTTAAAACTCCATAACATATGTTTAAATATATAATTCTATTCCAGGGATATATTAGATATAGGTGGTTCAGCAGTAGATGCAGCAATAGCTACATTATTATGTAATGGTATCATGCAACCACATAGCATGGGTATCGGTGGAGGTAAGATATGTATACCATGCAACCACTTGGCATTGTTATCAGTGGGTGTGAGTTAAGATTAAAATATTGCTTAGAAAATAGTACCACGCAACCCTATGAGGGAGGTAAAATAAGAATAAATGATTGTTTGGAAAAGAAATTAAGCTGAAATCCCCAGGTTTACTAATTTTAGTATAAAATTTGGCTTACTGTGTCGACAGTTGAAAACTAAATCGGTTATATTTCAACACTGGCTTTATCTATGGAAGCAATATTTTCAAATAGATAAAATCGACCATTTAATTTTTCACCTAAATCAAAAGCAGTCTACTCATTTCAAAACTGAGTTCAAATTGAGACTTAAAATATTGACACAGTCTAAAAATTAACAGCATGTGTTTGGGTCTACCGGAGCAGGATATAGAGAAAACAGAACGCTATAAACACCCGCTACTTCGCGAAACGTGGAAAACAGCCAATTAGACGGTGTATCTTTATGTAAACATGTTTATTTAAGTAATTGGTATGTGTATACTACAGGTTGTTTTATGGTGCTTTACGATCAACAGAGACAATCTGCTGACGTTATTAATGGACGAGAAGTTGCCCCAAAAGCCGCAACTTTCAACAAGTATACCAACAAGTCACCTTTATTTGGTGAGTACTATACATCACCATCTGTTATTTATAATTCCTGCCACTGAAACCGTATCAGAAATTTGATATGCAAAGTGTTAACCTTGGCCATTTGTTTCACCCACGCTTTCATGGTTTATGACACATGCCGTAGATAGTGCTACTGAAAGATAAGAAAGACTGAAATGGAATAAATATTTTTTTCTATAAATCCTACTTTGCAGTTCTCATGAAAACTAAATAATATCGTAATAAGTAAAAATGGCACAATTAAATGGAGTAATCGCCCTTCAATATTTTGAGAATCTGGCTAAAATGAACTGCGTATGTTTTCATGTGTGATTTAGGCACTGGACAAACAACCAGCGTGTCCTGAAAAAGGCACTGGCCAGGTAAACTTTTCACCATTGCACACGTAATCGTAAAAAACAACATTATCGCTAGTTAGCCGCAAATTAAAGGTTTACGAAGCCTTAAATTGTATGCCACTATATGGTTTTAACGTCCACTCGACACAAAATAGGTCATTTCGGGACTAACACATGGTTCAATTTTATTTCAATAATTCGCTTGCGCGTAGGGGTCTTTAGCAGTGGGAGGAAACCGGAGGACCCGGAGAAAACCCACGAGATTGGAAATTACAGAAAGATAATGCACTAAATCTTCCTTTTATGTGAGGCTAATAAAATATTTTAGATTGTATACAGGCGTTAGGTGAGCGAGACATATATAGATGAACATGCTCCCTGCCAATGAGATAAATGATTTGTTTATTTATATTACCATTTGTATATGTAATATTGTATGAGGGTGTGTATATTTAAAACATGCTTAAACACCGAAATATTTTACTATATTTTCTAGGTCCACTATCAATTGCTGTTCCTGGAGAAGTAAAAGCTTACTGGGCGGCTCATCAAAAATATGGAAAAATACCATGGAAAGATTTATTTGCTCCTTCTATCAAAATGGCGAGAGACGGTGCACCGTTGTCCGCGTCGGCAGCTCGTGGTTTAAGATTTATAAGAAACCGCTTGGCTAAAAATCTTAACACAACACTTAATGAGTCATATCCTGAATTGTGGTTAGTATCGATTGTTTTTGAAATTGGGGGAAAGGAAGTTAGTGATACGCAGTCGTATACTAATGCCATGTCCGACGATAGATGTCGAAGAATATATTATTGGCGTATTAAAATATACCGGGAAAACCAATACAATGACCAAATGGTCAGAAATTTATGGCGAATTATTTGTTTTGTTATCTATGCTCATACATTGTTTTTTTCAGTAAAATATATTGTGATGAAAACGGTAAAATATTAAAAGAAAATAGTACAATATATAGACGTACATTTGCTGAAACGTTACAGGGTTTAGCTGAAGAAGGGCCAGAATATTTATATTCTGGGGAAGGTGCTAGAAAACTTATAAAAGACATAAAACAGTTTAGTAAGTTGTTCAAATTCTTTTAATCAACTAGCGATTACCACTATTTATTTATTAAACTAAATCTACAGATTACCGTAAGGAATAAAAATTTAACATTTTGTTTTTGTCGTAAAGAATAGCATCCCTTTCAATAGTACTTAGTGTAGGGATGCATTTGGACAATTCATTAAAAAATAAAACTGTATTTGCTGATTCGCCATAAAAGATTATCCCCATTAATCATGTGGAAATCATGTGGAAATGTGGTCGTATACTACTTCGCCCACGTTCGTCGTACACAATTTCTTGTAAACACTCTAAACATAGGCATACAGACTCGATGAATGTTGGGGGTGGGGTGGGACAGTACCTGAAATGCCCGAAAAATTACAGGTTACAGACGTCTAGTAAAATTAGTGTTTTATTAGATTTTGGGCTCTTTATTTTGCCAAAAAGATGAAATAATAATTTTTGTTTTCACTTTACCCGTCCGCCCGAAAAGTCAGATTGTTCTTCCTGTATAAGCTGGTAATGTGATTAAACGCTATTTGAAACAAGGGAGCCATGGTGGCTCACGGGGTAAGGCACTGGCTCACAAACCAAAATGTGTCATGGGATTTTTATCCTAGTTTCTGGTGGCTTTTCGGATGGGCAACGACAGTTTATGTCTGTGTTACACGTGAGGGTATATGCTTGAAGAATCAACACAAGGACAAAGTGGTCTCTAACAGGTAGTGGATTATTTATTTTGCGGTTTATGGGTGCCCGTAAAAGAACCCGTGGCAGGTGGAATTCGGCGAAGATAAGGCAGTAACTCCGCAAGCAATGCAGGGTAAAGTAATCGGCACCGTGGATAAATTATATATTGCTTAAATCTTAACATGATCTACATGGAGATTTGAATATTATGCATTACATGTATATATGCATACGTCCAGAATCACCTTTTCGTACTTTTAAAATTATTTTAAAATTGTTTGATTGGGTTACTTTCAGATGGTATTTTGACAATGGATGATTTAAAGAATTATAAATTGAAAGATACACAAGCTATATCTTATCAATATGGTAATATAACTCTGCACACATTAGGTGCGCCAAGTGGTGGACCTGTTATGGGACTAATTTTAAAAATTATGGAAGGTAGATAATTAAATATTATTTATTAATATTTATACAGTGCAAGAAATGGCAGCTCTATCGCGGTTTACAAATCTTAAACAGTTAACGGGTGATAATTTGTATGATATCTAGTTAATAACGCGGAAAAAAATGATAACATTACAATTTTAATAAATGGTGGATATTCTACTTTGAAACGCCGTGCTCTCCCAAATGAAGGCTATTTGAACAAAATTAAAGGGTCATATGCATCAAATTTCTTAATAGTACTGATCTATTGCTATATTAACAGGTTTTAACTTCACGGCCGATGATTTATCAAGTTTAGATAAAAAGGCAGCTATGTATCATAAAATGATAGAATCTTTTAAATTCGTTTACGCTGATCGTTTGAAATTAGCTGACCCTTTGTTTGTCAACTTGGAAAATGTAAGTATCACCTCTTTCATTTGTTTAATTATAAAATCTTTCATAAACGAGCCCCCTTCCCTTTTAACTAATTACAATGAAATTATCGTGGTGGCCATATGTGATGAATATCTACCGGCCTTCAGTTACGTTTGGTGTCTCCTTCTGTACGGGGCTCTTGTGTAAAACTTTGAAAGCGTCTGATTATCGCATGTTATACCATTTTCTAATACAGAAAACCGAGCATACAGTAATGATAATTTTACAAGTGAGGCCCCTTTAAATGATTATAATGTTTATTAGATATATCATAATTTCTATATCTGATTGTCACACTAAAACACTCTTTTCGTGAAATTATAAACAATTAAATATGGGTGTTTCATTGTAAACACGAAAACGGATATCACGACCAGCTTTGTGTGTTCGCCAAATTGGTCTATTTTATGGGGAGTTCAATTGTTGGAGTGAGATATCCCGCAGTAAATCCAAACAGGATATACCTGCCTGTCATGGTTTAAATCGCCGAATCATTGTTTGAAGTAATACACATGAAATGAAATGAGATTTAAAGTCCTGCTTTTCTACACCAACTGGGCCAATGAAGACGAGTTGAAATAATACAATAGATGGATATGTGACAAGGAGGTGCCGATAAAACGTGCTACCAAATAGGGTATGACATATCGTTGTATATTGCAGTTACCCCTATCCGTTCGTTCGTCGTTATATGGGGAATCACGTGGCTAAGTGGGTAAGACGCTGGCTCGCTAGCCTGGCGGTCGGGTGTTCGATCCCTGCATTAGCCGAGAAAGTTCATCCAAATTTTCCAGCGTGGTTTCCCCTTGTCAGTGATGCAGGACGGAGGGCCTGACAAGGACAGCCGGGACGAAAAACCGAGGTCCCGTGTACACATTGGCGTGCACGTAAAAGATCCCTGGCAGTTGGAATTCGATATAAGAGTAGGCCGTAGTCCCGCTGCCCGGGCAAAATTTCCCTCATAGCACACTGTATGGACCAGTTTAGGAGCAGAACAGTAGGACGTTAAACCCCATTTCATTTCATTTCGTTATATGCTGTGTTTATAATATATCAATGTGGAGAAGTAGCTTATTGAGTTTCAATGGTTGCTTTTTCATCCGTTTCATTGCCCTTTCTGCTGTTGTAGCATTAGGTTCTTGGATATTCGGGTTCGAATAACAAAATCTAACCATACATACCTTTCATTTATTATTTCAAATAACATCTAATTAACTCTTTTAGTTGATGAATAAAATGGTCTCACCGGAATATGCCGACTTTTTACGTGAACAAATAGACACCAGTTTTACCCATAATACAACTTATTATACTAATTTAACTAGTGGTAATTGGGATAGTTACGGTACAACGCATATTTCTATAATAGGACCAGATGGAGATGCTGTGGCAGTTACATCAACCATTAACTATTAGTAAGTAATGAGAATATCGTTATTGGTACAGCAATGTCGTAGTTCAGCTATCGTCCTATTGTGTTGTTTCAGTCGTATTCGAAAGAGTAGAATATTATATTTGATCTTTTTCCTGCCGTCACCATTAGAAAGAGAATTCAGGTTTGTTGTTACAGTAAATGCGTGTATTCTTGGGATTGGCGAAAGTCAGTTATTATCAACTCATATATATCATGCCATGAATCATAAAATAAATCAAACTGAAGATTTGTTTAGTAGTATGTCAGTAGACAATAAATTTTGAGTGATCCTAGAATTTATTGTTTTTATAGGTAATCATTTTCGCAATCTTCAAAAATCTTTTACATTTTTTTAAAAAAAAACAATAGCGGGATTATTTTACTGTCGGAGATTGTTCGGTACTGTATTATACATATCTGTCATTTGAGGATGGATTTTATCCCCCCCCCCCCTCTTTGAAATTTGGTTGTATATTTGTTTAAATGATTAAGATAAAGATGCCTATATTGAGTTTACTGTTAATGCATTTGATCACTTTGTAGAATCCGTACTTCTACAACTATGACCTCGGCTAGTGGAATCTTTTAAACGTTCCACACTTCCACAGTTATGGCCCCTGTTATGGTAGAATCTGGTGAACGCTCTACCGACAATTTCCGTTAATTGCTCACTCTCTATAATTTCTGATAATTGCTTATCGAGTTATTGCCCATGATTATGCCATTCTATTTTCTTAGTATTGTTTCTTTTTTACAGCTTTGGCTCCTTGTTATATTCTCCATCAACGGGTATTATATTGAACAATGAAATGGCTGATTTTTCATTCCCGGATAAAACAGTTCTGGACCAGCTTAAAGTACGTCTTGCCCTTGAATTTTATCCATTAACATTTATATTTAATTTTCGAAAATGTAGTTCGAGAGTCGGTTGTTCAAAACTCCGTTAACTTATAACGATTGGTTAACATGGAGTTAACGGATTGTTATCTCTAACGGAGAGAAAGTCTGTTGCTGGAAGCCCCGTTAACTTTATCGTGATGTTAACTTGCCGTTATATACTCTTAAAAAAAGTAAAGGATATTGAAATGCAAATACCTATGCAGGTTCTGATATGATAAATAGCCATTGACACTTGACATGCTTTGAGAGTATGTTCACAGATGAAGAACTTATCGCAACAACAGAACCACTGAGCTGCAGGTGCGACACGCAATATGGCGCTATACACGTGGGAGGGGGTTCGTTGTCAAATTTGTCACTTTAAGGAAGGGTTTATGAAAACTGCCGCGTGCTGGTTTATCCTATCCATGTTTGCTTTCCTATCTGTTCTTGCATAAGATTAAGCGTATCTTTGCTTTAGTGTGTTACGTTTAATTAGCAATGAGATGTCTTCAACATGATGAACGTCTACGTGCAATTGGCATGCTTCAAATGGGTTCTACAAAGCGAGCAGTAGCCAACATGCTTCATGTGTCACAGTCTGTGAACCGGTACCAACTAACACACAATGTTGATGATAGACCTCGTTCAGGTCGTCCTACCGTGAACACATCCTGGCACCGATAGTTCTGCCCTTTGCTCAACGTGCAGGTCGACGTTTCATCTTTCAAGATGATAATGCCCGTGCCCACCGCGCTCGTGTCGTGAAAGACTACCTCCAGCGTCACCATATTGTCCATGTGCCTTGCCCAGCCATGAGTCCAGATCTTTCCCCTATAGAGCATGTCTGGGACATGATCGGGAGACGTGTTCGTCGATGTCAACGTCAACACTGCAAGAATTAGCCGTGGCACTGCAAGAGGAGTGGGTCAGATTGGCCCAAATCGTGATTGGACAGTTGATTAGGAGCATGCCACGACGAATTGCTGAATGTCTGAGGATTGGTGGAGTAATTACTCACTATTAAGACAAAAAGCAAGTACGTCCATTTTCACATTTGACAGTGTATCTCTTTTCGAGTGAAATGGGGCCGCTAGATAAGCGGCCCATATGACCTGTTTATGTTCATGTGTAGGCAACTGGCCTGTTGTTAACATACACTGGTTATCTCTAATAAAAACAGCAGTGCATTTCGCAGTTTTGTATTGTTTCTGAATATCCCCTACTTTTTTGTAAGAGTATATTTAACAAAGGTGTTAGATTCCGTTATCTGTTTAACGATGCCATTAGTCGGTTGTTAGTATACCCTCAGCAAAAATTCCTATAGATTAACAAAGTGTAATTTTCTATAGAATTCTATTATAGTATTCGATAGATTTTTATAGTGTTTTCTGTAGTAAATTCTACAGTTATCTTTTTGTCTTTAATCAAGTTTTGTGAACATAGTACACAGTTGTCCCACTTTCTTCAGTTTCTTGTTAATACCAACTTCTATGAAGTTGTTATACATGTACATTGAATTTAAAAAAAATAAAATTCAGCCAATGGCCAACAGTCTTCTCTTGGATTAACTTTAATCAGTCCGTTAGATAACGGATACTGAATTGACTTTCCAGCAACAGAAATTAAATGGATCGTTAACAAACGTGGCGTTAGCAAGATAACGATCCGTTAGAGTTTAACGGATCGTTAAGTTTTAAGCAACCGACCCCGGACCATTTTTATACACCCACTTCAAATGTGGTCGTAAATTGTCGTTCGCCTCATCGGTCTGTCCGTCGGTCCTCTAGAGATTAAAGTTCATATCCGATTGACTGTAAATTTGTAAACAGTGTTTACGGTCATGAATCAAATAATGAAACAAATTTTAATATTTTCAGATAATAACTTAATTGTTACTCGCCTGGAAAGGGACAACGTATAGTCGTCTGGATGGGACGGAAACCTGTGTTTACATTAGCGTGCACGTAAAAGATTCATTGGCAGTTGGAATTCGATATAAGAGTAGGGTGTTGCACCGCTTTCCTGGCACTGAAATGAAATGAAATGAAATAGGATTTAACGTCCACTGTTCTGCTCCGAACTGGGCTAATGATGACGGGCATACGCCATACAGTGTGCTGTGAGGGAAATTTTGCCCGGACAGCGGCACCACGGCCTACTCTTATATGCAAAACCTTTGTTGACTACCCGAATTACTTAGCTGCTGTGGGCGTATATTTTGTTGCCTGGCAACCTACTTTTGATCATTACTGAATTACCGAGGGATGTTTTATGTTTTAACATTCCCGTGTGTGCAAATCAACTCAATTAATACGGTATTGAAATACAAAATTAATAAGAGAGAGAAAGAGAGAGAAATGGTGTTTAACGTCAACTCGACACAAACTAGATCATTTCGGGATAACAATTCGCTTGCGCGTAGGGGTCTTTAGCGGTGAGAGGAAACCGGAGGACCCAGAGAAAACCCACGAGGTTGGACAAGCGACCCTACTCCTTGCAACGTACAACCGGAGAATCGAAACCACGCCAGTTGACTCAATGGCAGACCTTATGATACAGATCGCACGTGCTACCCATTCGGCTATTCAAAAAAAAAATGAATAATGCTTTGGGCTTGTTAAATTACAAAATATCTTAGTTTAGCGTAGCGAAGTATTAATTGAACCCTGTCTCATCAAATCGATTTATTTGTTCCCCGGCCATTGAAGATTTCAAAGTAGTAATAATTTGAACATTCGTTTATTGTAACATTGTGCGGGCAGCTTTATGTTCATTTGAGCATTTTAACAGATAAATGTCTAATTCGGGGTAATGTTATTCTCTCTATTTCAGTCTCAAACTTCAAACTACGTAGCACCAGGGAAGACTCCATTGTCATCCATGTGCCCCGCCATATTTGTAGACAATAATGGCGAAGCTGTTTTAGTTATGGGTTCATCTGGTGGGGCCAGAATAACTACTGTTAATGCTCAAGTTTGTATTTTGAAAGTTTGTATTTTGCACGTCTGGCTTATTCAAAGTGGAAAAATTTCTTCGCAATTCCGTGGAAAGCGTAAGTCTGACATACGCGCTCATTGCCGCAGTAGTGCTTGTGGAGTACCAAGTTCGTCCACCAGAATTACAGCCCGCACTTATATTTAAGTTCATGAAACAGCGAAGTCTATTCGTTTTCACTTATTTATTGTAACTAATTTTAGCTTTATACTCTTAATAGCGTTAGTAATCATTCCGCTGACTTGAAATTAATGCACAATGTATATATTTATGGGATGAAAAGGCCTATTGAGTAGGCTACCAACAATCTCTAATAATTACTTCATGGGTTGTTGCGCTTGTTTATATTTTTCAGGTAGCGGCTAGAATTTTATGGCTAGACCAGTCAGTGAAAGAAGCTATACAAACTTTAAGATTTCATCATCAATTATTTCCTAATCACGTCATATTTGAACAAAAGTTTTCTAAGGTTAGTGTTGTTTGAACTGAATTTATATTAATATTATCCAAGTAAAATTGGATCGATGCTAGTCCCTATTCATACGGATTATACAACGGTCCTCATTTCCATACGGTTTATACAGCGATGTTAAGTCATCATTTATACAAGGATGCTAGTCCCTCATTTTCATACGTTTTATACAATATTGTTAGGTCCTCATTTATTATCTCCTGGGCTAAATCTGATGCTTCCTTGATATTAAGATAAGAATAACATTAATAACAAAATTCTATATTTTCAGGATGTTATGAATTTACTCCATAATCAATATGGACATAAATATACAGAGAGAACGACATATATGGCAGTGGTGCAAGGAGTAGCACGTGACCCGATAACGCGGGAAATTCATGCTTTCTCAGATGAACGTAAACATGGCAAGGCCAGTCTCTTACAGAGAAACATTACAGTTGTAAACTGATGGTATAGATCTACAAAATAACAATGTGGCTACTTTTTATTGTACGAGAAATCAGATCGAAATATTCGTTTATGCCCTGATGTAACTATCTATATTATGTGGCCATTATAGAGCCGTCCTCTAATAGAACCAGTATTGGGTCTATCCTGCATTCAACCAGAGGGTTCTACCTCCCTCGTTCAAACAATAGTAACCTATTGGGTAGTCGGGAGGATATATGGATTTACATGGAGATTTTCCCGTTTCATGTTTAAACATTTATAATTAATTGTGCAGTCGACCTGGAATATATTTGTGAAAACGACATACCATTATTTTGCAGAAGTTGAGGAGTTTTTATACGCCCACATTGACATGTGGTCGTATATTGTCGTCTCCCACGCCCGTCCGTCTGTCCGGCGTCCACAATTGCTTGTGGACGCTCTAGAGGCTAAAGTTTATATCCTATTGATTTTCACCGATTTCCGATAATTACTACCAGTGTTATGGCCCTTGATCACTTTGAAAAATTTTGTGGATGCTCTAGAGACCAAAGTTATCATCCGATTGATAAACAGAGCTTAAGGTCTTGAGAGAACAAGTATATTGATTTTCAATGAATTTTGATAACTTGAACAGCTAAATTCATGATATGAAATATTTCGTATACGAAACGTTAGCATGGGGCAGAACTAAAAGCCAAACAATTTCTAATGATTTTCTGATTATTACTTAATGAGTAAAGTTGTTACTCTTAATCAGATTTTAGTGTATTATAAATTTTTCATTACCGACAATAGAAAAAATATGTGACAACTCTTGTTGACTGCACGGACGACTTAGCTGCTGTGGGTGTATGTTCCGTTGCCTGGCAACCTATCTTTAACATTTCTAAACTCTATATAGGATCTGTCGTATCTATCTATAATGGTTTGTTTCTCTCGGGATTCGGACAGAGGTAGGGTTGTTTTCTTCGTTTATTTTGAACATCTTCAGTCGAGAATTGAAGTTGGGGTGAATCCACCAACGATCCATAACTAGTACTATATTCCATATACATTGTGCTGGTAGCCAAAGCTACAATATATCTTGTTGTCAGCCCTGTCTGTCGGTCTGTTCGCCCATCCACAGTTTTTGCCAACACTGCAGATCCTGGCAAGGATATTTCGTCTGGTATTAAGTAGAAACCACAGAAAGTGCCTCGAGTCCTAAAAAGCCTTTCGATTTACTTATCTTCCATGTAAAATCTTTATATGTACACAGGTAAATACTGATAATTTTTATTCATCATATATGTGTGTGTCTGTGCGTGTCAATTATTATATTATATTACGTATATTTTTCATTGTATTTACTTCCCCTGTCTACAGCGATGGAGACAGTTTCTTTTGTAAAGAAAACGTTGATTTACTCGCTGTGGGTTTTCATTTGCTGGGGGAGAGAGAAACTTTATCCATGTATATATAATGATTCGTTCTTTGTACTTTTATATATTATTAAAGATGTTGACCAAATAAAATGAGTGTACTGGGTTTATTTATTATTTTTATACGCCCATATTTTATGTTGTCGCTTAGGTTCTTCCGTTCCAATTTGTTTGTGGAGATACTAGTGGTAACATTTCTGCCCGATTTTGGTGAAACTTAAAAATATATCCCAAAGATTTGGGATGGGTGCCTGGAGCTGCAGTATTGTCTCTGATTGTACGATGGGCCCTCTATAGTTAACAGTTTTTATACGATTTTGGTAAACATTAAAATATATGTTTATTACATAAAAATCGCGGATGAGTTCGACTTTAGTGTAATTCCGACCGTAATAGATATACCGCGGTTTGGGGGCTCCAGAGGAGGCAACAATATTTGTCCGATTCAGACGAAAATTAAATATATTCTAAGGATCAAATGGTCTTGGATGAGTTCAATATTTGACCGCAACGTATTGGCTTATGATCCCCGCCTTTTATGCAAACTGTGAAATATGCACAAAGTTTGTTGACCCTCTAGAGGCCACACTTATGGTCCGATTTAGTTGAAATATAAACATAGGTTAAGGGTCACAAGATCTCGGATGCGTCGGACTTTCTGTTAACAATGTTTGTGGGTTGAGAACATGAGATTATGAAACCTCTTGATTTTTATCGTTCTCTGTTGGTACGCCTACTCGCCAGGGACTGGCTCTGCATTCCACGACCTTCCGTTTCGGAGTTACACTATCACCCTCCTTTGACGAAAACAGAAAGCTGCAGTTTTTAACATATTTGGTTCAAATGTGGTGTGCTTCATTGGGATCACGAGAAGATTTCAGCGTTCCGCGACACCCGTTCCTGAGTTATGCCTCTTTCCCCGAAAACTCGGTAAAGCAATAGTGTCTATAGTATGACTTGAAGCATTGGGGTTATGAGAAAACGAACTTTATCGATAATCGGAGTTATGTCCCTTTAGCCGAAAACCTGGACGCGACAGAGGCTACGTTTTTTATAAGCCCACATTGAAATGTGGTCGTATATTGTCGTCGCCTCCGTCCGTCCATTGTCCACAATGTGGACGCTCTAGAGGCTAAAGTTAATATAAGATTGACTTTAAATTTATACACAGTGTTTGAGGTCATGAGACGAAGAATCCCATTTCAACGATTTCCGATAATTACTGCCACAGTTATGGCCCTTGATCACTTTGAAAAATCTAGAGGCTAAAGTTATCACCCGATTGACTTCAGATTGATACACGGAGTTTAAGCTCTTGAGACGAACAAGTATATTGATTTTCAATGATTTTTTTTATAAAAGACTTGAACAGCTAAATCTATGATATTAAAAGTTTCGTATACTAAACGTTAGCGTGGGGCAGAACTTTATAAAAAAAAAAAAAAAATTCTAATGGGTTTCTGATAATTACTTCATGAGTTGTTACTCTTAATCAGATTTTAGTGTATTATAAATGTTTCATTACCGAAAAAAGTAAAAATATGCGAAAACTCATGTTGACTGCCAACACGATTTAGCTGCTGTGGGCGTATGTTTCGTTGCCTGGCAACCTATCTTTAATATTTCTGTTTGGGCGACTTTGCGGCTAGTGTTTTATTGCTTGACGACCTTTGTTTAATAAAATTTAGATTGGCTATGCCAGGTTTTTGTTTTATCTGCAAAGTTCAGAAATCCATGCCCAAAACAATGGCGGCGCATTGGGATTCTATAAGCCAAAGTTATTAAAGGTTGAAGGTGCAGAAGGTAATGCTATTATAACACGCTTTCTCAACTAAATCATCAGTCAGCATGCTATTTATAAATTTAGGAAATTCATGTTAGGTATATAAATTCTATCGCAGCAAATGGCAGGCGTTTGTCATATCGAAGCACAAAGATATCAGTAACAAGTAACGCGATATCTTCTGTCTTATCGCTGTCTTACCTCGGGTAGCTTTTGGTTCTATATGCGATTTGATGAACAGTAGAAGTATGTGTGAGTAAGTTTGGAGTAAGGCTCTGTTTAGTTTGAGTACATGGTTTAAAGGGATAATATTACTTACAAAGCAATTGTAAGCAGATAATAAAAGGATAAAATGTCGGATATTGAAAATGAAGTTTTCAAAAAGCAAAATGACACAAATAAGGACGGGTAAGAAATAGTTTAACATTTGTTTAGAAGTCTTTGAATGCCATTTAGTAATTGGAACATAATCAAATAACACACTTTATATGGAATAACAATTACTATTGTTTATTTCACTATGACATTTCAACAAATGTGAAATCTTGTTGAAACGTCGCAGTGAAATAAACCATAGCAATTGTTATTCCATAAAAGTGTGTCATATGATTTATTTAATATAGTTTAACATTTGTCGTACATTTACTTTAAATGTTAGTTTAAAGTTTCTAAAGGATAATTATTAATATAGTTTCAACAGATAATTAACCAACAGATTTTTTATGTTTCTGTAGCAGGTAGGTAGAATGAAAAAAAGAGAAGATTTCTGGCTTGAAATAAAGTCACCTTTAAAATACATGAAGAATTTTAACTGAATGGAGTCGCATAAAAATATAAACATAATAAGCTAACGTTGACTTAAGGAACAATCGTTTTAATCAGAGCATGTGCAGTTTTGAGTTTTGACACTTTTAGTAGATTCAATGTTTCCAATCGATGTTACTATATAAATGGAGTCAGGTAAACGATACCAACTATATATTTTTCTTTTTGTTAACATCATCCAAGAGGAAAACATCAAATATATAGCCCATTAATGTAGCGTTTCATTGACGTAAAGGAATGTCATTTTGCAACAAAATGGGTGTCGTTTAGAATGGCAATTAAATTAAAAGTTTCAATTATGAACCTATCTGGATCTTGGATCATTGCATTAAATGTTTTGAATCATTCTTATAACGCAGCAATATCCAGCGCGGAGCATCAAGTCTTAGGTCCTAATATACAAAGCCCGATAATCATCAATTTTTAAATTATAGACCGGGAGCCCAGGAGGTTAGCCTAGCTGAAAAGTGTGCCAATTTTCACCTATATGGTATCAAAGCATGCATATCTGGTATCATCAGAATGCAAGTCTGCCGGGTATCTGGTGGTGGGTGTGGCTGTGAGGGCTGCGATACTGGGTATGAATTCTTGAGCTAGATTAGCTCAAAAGTGTACCACATGAAAATGGTACAGCAGTGTACCTTACATCTCCAGGTATTACAAAAACATTTTGACAGACATTTCTAGTGGTGGGGTACCCCCAACAGAGTTATGTTATTGCCAGACCACAGCTAGGCTAGATTAGCTGAAATCTGTACCACTTAAAACTGTTTGTGGAAGTTGTTCAGCACCAACACAGAAATCATGATTGATCACTGGCAGACAGTTTATGCGGTGGATTACCCCTAACAGAACAGACACACCCAATATGCCACGCCTCCCAGCTAGGCTAGATTAGCTTAAATCCGTACCGCCTAAAACTGCTTGGAAGTCGTTCAGCTCCACAGGAATAATGAATGATCACTGCCAGACAGTTTGTGCGGTCGGATACCCCTAACGCACATGCCCAAAATACCAGCCCGCCCCCTCCCCACCTAGCCTAGATTAGCTGAAGCCCGTACCACCTAAAACTACTTGGAAGTTGTTCAGCACCACCACATCAATCAAGAACGACCACTGCAAGACAGTTTGTGTGATGGGTTACCCCTGATAGACACGCCCCCCCCCCCCCCACTCCCCCAACTAGGGTAGATTATTTGAAGTCTGTACGATCTACAATTAATTGGACCTTGTTCGGCAAAACTGCAGGAATCATGGATTACTACTGCCAGACAGATTGTGCGGTGGGGTACCCTTGACAGACACGCCCAAAATACCATGACCCCTGTAAGTTGTTTGGGGTCTTATTAAAGACATTATTAATGTTCAAACAGGTTATTTATTAATTAAAATATAATTCAGTGACTATTTAGTCAGCCATCATTGTTTACAACTCTATTATCATACTACAGCGCCACCTGGACACAGACCACTAATTATTTACTTAGGGAGTCAACTTGTATTGTCTATATGTATTAAACTATTAATGTCAACATCTCCCTTTTTATATAAAATAAAATTTTAAACACAAATTAAACTTCACTCAATTAAAGTAACAAACTAAACATGCAATATCCAATTGTTTTAAATTCACAGAACAAAATATATTTAGTTATCATAGTCTCTCATCCATGATGGTTTCCTGCTTACTCTTCCACTAGCAGTTCTCAATAGATTTGGTTCATTTATATCAGGTTGAATTTCTTCTTGTTGTTCATTTGGTCCATTTGGTTGATTGTGCTCTAGTTCAAAATTTCCTGGAAAGTTATTGTCTCCATTTTGTCCACCATTTTGAATTGTGTTGTCAACTGGATCATGATTAAGATATTGTTCTGTGTAGAAAGGTTTTAAATGTTGTCTATTTCTCCTTATTACTGAACCATCATCACTTCGTACCATATAAGATCTTGGACTGTTGTGTTGATATAGAATTTTACCAGGAGTCCATTTCTTTCTATCAAAATTCCAAATGCTGATTGATTGACCTGGTTGAAGTGGTTTCAAGTCAATTGATGTTTTGTCAAATTGTTTCTTTTGACCTTCTATCTTCTTTTCTCTTTCCTTTTGAACACCTATCTGTCTTGTAGGTCTTAGATATGATTTGGATATTGGTAAATTAGTTCGTAATCGTCTTCCAAATAATAACTGTGATGGAGTTTTCGATCCAAGAACTGGGCTGTCTCTGTAGTTTAATATAGCTAAATAAGGATCTTGTTTATCAGCTTTAGCTTTGATGAGTAACTTTTTAACAATTCCAACATATTTTTCAGCTAACCCGTTACTTCTTGGATAATGAGGACTCGATGTTTTGTGATTTATTCCCCATTCAGTTGAAAATTTTCTAAATTTTTCATTTGAAAAATTTGTCCCATTGTCAGACACAAGGGTTTCTGGAATTCCATGTCTTGCGAAGATGGATTTCATTTTTAATATGGTTTCTTCAGCTGACAAATTTTTCAACTGAGCTATCTCAAAGTAATTTGAATAATAATCAACTAACAGTAAATAGTCTAAATTATTAAAATGAAAACAGTCTGCTCCAACTTTTAACCATGGAATATTTGGTCTTTCATGTGGTTGAAGTGTTTGATTTGTTTGTTGATTTTTATATGTTTGACATATTTCACATTTTGTTACGTAATTTTCAATGTCATTTGACATGCCGATCCAAAACATACAGGATCTTGCTCGAGTAACACATTTTTCAAAACCTAAATGTCCTTCGTGTAATCGTCTCAGCATGTCGCTTTTCCACTCTTTAGGAATTAACAATCTATTATTTTTGTAAATTAAACCTTTAAAATTTGAAAGTTCATCGCGGAAGTTCCAATACGGTTTTACAGTGTCATTTAAATCATGACGATTATCTGGCCATCCATTTTGAATGATTCTACGTAATTCTAATTGTTCATTATCAGCTTCACACGATTTTTGAAAGTTATCTAACATTGTGTTACTAAATGGTAATAATGCATGTACCACATGCACATAATAATCTAATTCCTGATGAAACTTTAAATCTTCAGGTTTTGGGGGTTGTGGTGCTCTGCTTAATGTATCAGCTACTTTTAAGTCTTTTCCTGGTATCCATTCGTACTCAAAATTATACTTTTGTAAACGTATCATCAATCTTGCTATTCTCGGAGGTGCGGATGTCAATGATTTTGTAAATAAAAATTTTAATGGTTTATGATCATTAACAACTTTAAATTTATTCACACCATAAACATATTGATGAAATCGTTCTGTAGTAAATACAATTGATAACAGTTCTTTTTCAATCTGAGAGTAATTTTTCTCAGCATCAGTCAATGTCCTTGATATAAACGCGACTGGTCTGTTATTTTGTAATAGTGCACCACCTAAACCATATTGTGAGCTGTCACAAGTTATAGTAATATCTTCTTTTGTATCGAAGAATTTTAAAACTGGTGCTTCTGTCAACATTCTCTTTAGCTGTTGAAATTTTAGTTCATGGTTTGCTGTCCATACAAACACATTTTTCTCTTTAATTAAGTCTCTCAATATTGCAGTTTCTTGAGAAAGATTGGGTAGGAAATTAGCTAGGTATGTCAACATCCCTAGAAATCTATGTAGTTCTTCCTTAGAAGATGGGCTTTTCATATTTACAATGGATGAAATTCTATCCGGATCAATTTTCTGACCATCTCCAGTGATAATTACACCAAGATATTTTACCTCAGTTTTATTCAGTTCACATTTATTTTTATTCAGTTTTAAGTTCATTTCACGACATTTGTCTAGTGTAGCTTTAAGTCTTTCATCATGAATTTTCTGATTTTCAGCATGTATCATTATGTCATCTACATAAGCTTCTACGCCTTCATGATTTTGAAATGTTTGACTCATAACACGTTGAAATACTTGACTAGAAATGTTTAAACCATAAGGAAGTCTTTTGAAACAAAAATTACCAAATGGAGTTGAAAATGTTGTTAATTTTGATGACTCTTCATCAAGCTTTAGCTGCCAAAAACTTTCGGTAGCGTCTAATTTTGTGAATATCTTCGAATTATTCAGCCTAGCAGTCATCTCATCAATGGTTGGCATCTTATATTGGTCTGATATGATGTACTGATTTAAATCTCTGGGATCTAAACAGATACGTAGCTTACCATTAGGCTTCTCTACGACCACCATTGCATTTATCCACTCGGTTGGTTCATTTATTCTCTGAATAATACCATTCTGTTCCATCCTATTCAACTCTTCCTTGACTTGTTCACGAATAGCATAAGCTATTCTTCTGGGAGGATACTGGACTGGTTTAGCATCATCTTTCATATAGATTTTAACTTCAGGCACATTTATACCTTTTATTGTTTTATTAAAAACGTCATTATATTTATTAAATATATCATTGTCTTTGTTATTTAAACTTTCTACTCGTTTTATTAAATTTAAATCTTCACAGGATCTCAGCCCTACAACTGGAACCGTTTTATCTCGAATAACTATAAAGTTGACCAATTTCTTGTCATTCTTTATTTTAACTATAAGAATAACTTCACCAGCTATATCTAATCTTTGACCATTATAGGTAACTAGTCTTCTTTTGGTTGGATTTAATCTTTTTCTAGATATTTGTCGATAGACATGGTAGGGTAACACATCAGCTTGCGCTCCACTGTCTAATTTAAATTTAACTTTTCTGTCTTGAACACCAACTTTGGCTTCTATGTTCCATTCTAAGGTATCTTTACTATTGGTATTATTTTCTTTCACCATTGATATGTATAAATTATCTTCATCATTTGATTCATCAATAATTTCTTCATTTACCATACCAAGAAATAAATCTTCATCAGAATTGTCTTCAGTAAATTGGTCGACTTTCTTGGTCCTGCACATTTTACTAAAATGACCTAATTTATGACATTTGGTACAAGTTTTACCATATGCTGGACAATCATTATATTTATGATTGTAACCACATCGTTGACAAGTTTTGTCAAACTTCTTCTGGTTTGTTGGCTCATATTTATGTTTTGTTTCTGTATGTCTTCTATTTTCATCTTTTCTTGGATGATTATTTGTTTTTCTCCCTTTTTTACTAAAGGCATCAACGGTTTGGTGACATACTGCAGTAGCGCCTTCTTGACCTTTAGATGTCATTTGATTCATCTGTTTAGTTACATTTTCAAATGTCCTGCATTCCTGTATGGCTACTTCTAATGTTAAATTTTTATTGGTTAGTAATTTCTGCAGCAAGACTGGACTACTTATTCCTTCTACTATCTGATCTCGAACACTTTCGTCAGACATCTCACCATAAGCACAGCTTTTTACTTGTTCCTTGATTTCTGTCAAAAATTCATCAAAATCCCTTTTCTCTTGCTTTATTTTTCTTAAAATATGCCGTTCATAAATAATATTTCTGGCACCAATAAAATAATCATCAAACATTCTGATTAAATCTTCTATTGAGGTTTCATTTTCACCCTCTTCTTTTATTTGGAATGTGGAGGCTATTTTCCTTCCATCTTCACCAACAAGATGCAGCAATCCAGACCTTTTAACATCATTTGGTTGATTCCTCGCTCCAGAGGCTGTCAGGTACAACTCAAATTGTTTCTTGAACGAAGTCCATGCTTCCTTCTTATTTCTACTATTTGTCAAATCTAATGACTTGGGAGGTGGTAGATTCTGCATACTTGCTGTCACTTTAAACTTCTGACACCATGTAAGTTGTTTGGGGTCTTATTAAAGACATTATTAATGTTCAAACAGGTTATTTATTAATTAAAATATAATTCAGTGACTATTTAGTCAGCCATCATTGTTTACAACTCTATTATCATACTACAGCGCCACCTGGACACAGACCACTAATTATTTACTTAGGGAGTCAACTTGTATTGTCTATATGTATTAAACTATTAATGTCAACAACCCCCCTCCCCCAACTAGGCTAGATTAGTTGAAGTCCGTACGATCTACAATTAATTGGACGTTGTTCGGCAAAACCGCAGGTATCATGGATTACCACTGCCAGACAGATTGTGCGGTGGGGTACCCTTGACGTCCGGCCAAATTGCCACGCCCCGCAACTAGGCTTGATTAGCTGAAGTCGGTACCACCTAAAACTGGAGATTGTTCAGCGCCACCACAGGAATCAAGAATGACCACTACAAGACAGTTTGTTCGGTGGGGTACCAATGACAAAAAGCCCAAAATGTCACGCCCCGCAACAAGGTTACATAAGCTGAATGATGATGCCAACATGGGGAAATTTTAATATTCAAGATGGCCGCCCTGAGACATTTTCTGGTTATTTACTTTAATTTAGTGGGGTAAAATTTGGGAGAGATTCTCTCGAACCTTGGTATGAAGGTAGTTTCTATAAGAATTTGACCCATTGAATCCGACGAGCTTGGGTGTTCCTCCTAAAAGTGACTGCTAATTCCACTAGGAAGCCAAATTCACAATGGGGGCTCATTTTTGAAGGAAACTCATAATGTTCCCTAAAACGGCGTGAAATATATTGAAATATAGGTTTTCGTTGTCAATTACTTCAAATATTATAAACATAAAAGACATGTTTCGACCAAAAGGTATTCCAATCCGATGATATTCTTTCCCTTGCATTCTTATAAGGACACAAATTATACACGGTCAAACAGAATCAACCATCGGGCCATCGTGAGTCGAAAGCAAATGTTTATAAAAGCTAACTGGGGCTTGTCCAACCTCGTGTAAAAGTCTAACTTACGCTCGCTTGAATCACTGGAATACTCGCAATCAGTATAACAGTCTGATTCTTCCGCTTTCATCAGTATCATGCAACGGGGGTGAACCTTGTCTTGACAGTTATTAGGTCACTCATACGCGCCGGTAAAGCCGAGGTTGGCAAACATTTTCCATCCCTTCTTCCCCTCTGTTTTTTGGTAGAGAGGGTGACCGCGGCTGGTGTCATAGTGGATCATAATTTATGCTTGACTCGCTCTATGAATTCGGCGAATCAGAAAACTTATAGTTTAAAACATTACTAACATCGCCATGTCTCGCCAAAATTGGCCGCCATTTTCAATATGACCTCCACCTGGAATACCCTTTGGTCGGAACATGTTTTTATGTTTATATCTGAAGTAACTAACACCGAAAACCTATATTTTAATATACTGCACACCTTTGTTAGGGGACTATATGGGTTTCCCTCTAAAATAAGCCTCCATTTTGAATTTGGACCCCTAGCGGAATTAGCCATCACTTTTAGGAGGAATAGCAAAATTCATTGGATTCAGCGGGTCAAATTACGATAGAAACAATTTTGTATGTGTGTTTTGTTACTTTTTTTTGTTTTGTTTTTTTTTTCAGTCGGTTATCTTCTCCGAGCGGGTCTGAGAATCCACGAAAACAGAAGACGAAATGCTCGAAAAGGCGCTCAATCATAATCTTGATAATATTAATAGTCATGATAGTATGTTTATTAGCGATTGGTATAGGTGTTGGATTTGGCTTACCCGAACTCCTAGGACACACAAGTAAAGAATCTGTTCGGTTGATAACAGTGGCAGCAGTAGCTGCTGACCATGCTAAATGTTCAGAAATTGGCAGGTAAAACCTAACTATATTACGTTCATATTTTGTTGACATTTACTGTTAAACGTAAATACATGTAGCTAACTTTATTAAAAATTTTATGAGATTAGTTCCAAATGTAAAACCACCAACCTGTCATTCTTATTATTTAATCTAGTTAAGTATTTTGTTAAACTGGAGTAACAAAAAACACAAGTCATAGCAATATAAAATTAATTGTATATATTATTCAGGGATGTGTTAGATATCGGTGGTTCAGTTGTAGATGCAGCAATAGCTACATTATTGTGTACTGGTATCATGCAACCACATAGCATGGGTATCGGTGGAGGTAAGATATTATGTAATAATATAATTTAACCACATATCGTGTTGGGTATCGGTGGAGGTATGATATTCATATTATGTAATAGCATCATGTAACATGGATATATTATTTATACCATTAATCCCTGAAATAACATGGTAGGGTCAATTCTTCTGACTTCAGCGACTCTTAACAGAAGCAAATTGTTTAACCATAGTTTGGACGTTTGAAATTGTTCGACATATTATATGATAGTGTCCTGTAATTGCGTAGGTAAAATATAGTGTCATGTAAAGTATTGACCCGACCTTATAAAAACTAAGAGAGGATGTATGTTGTTGTTGTTGTTGTTGTTTACTACAGAGTTAAGGTCCAATACAATAGATATGATATTATGGACATGTTGATTTAATTAAATTATTTACTTGAGGGGTTGAAAATTGGTACAAACACAAAAATAAAAAAAAGTCCCTGTAAATCAAAAAGTCACCTTAAAACACACTTATAAAATCGCTGTTGCGAGAAGAGATGGCGGATCATCTTCCATCTTTGTCATAATAAAAACAAATTAAAAAGGGAGGTCCAGATAGAAAAACCTCGTGAGGAAAAAGGAATCCGCTTGCTTTATGTGGAAAAACGTAGTGCTCGCGGTAAAAACCACATAACTGAACCAGTGGATTATTTACATATTAATAACTGTTCGTCCAATAAGTTCCATGTGGTTAAAAGATTGCTGGAAGTCCTTTAATGCGGTTCACAACTTCAGCGTTTAAAAGTTAAAGGCATTAGAGACTTTTGGCAAGTGGATTTTTTCCCATCCGTATCAGGTAATGTATCCGTATCGTCACGTGATACGTTGCGGCAATGTAGTTTTAGAGTTTTGGCCGCGTACGTGCCGCGTACATGTACGTATGGGTAGCTGAGCTGAGCTTATTTCTATAATATCATGATAGCAGTTACCTACAAGGTCAACATCAGTACAATCTGATTAAAATACAGATCTATATTTCGTTTCGTTTTTTATACTTTTGATGGCCTGCACTACATGAAGATCTGACCAGTTGTACTGGGAGGTCGCGTCAGGGATCATACGTGAGGCTTTTGACCCTATGACTTCAGACATTGATTACTCAATCAGTGTTGCCGTTTCTACTGGTTTACCCACAGTTCCGTGCATCGCACGCCAAGAAGTCGCCGTAACAGATTGTCGCTCGACAGTCGCTGAGCTATAATATAAAATTTTAAAAAAATTTAGTGTCGTATCTTATTAAAAATCTTCCACTTCGACAGCAATTTTTGGTTTCACTAATGTATCATTTCAGAAATTGTATACCTCTTCTACAGATTTGCAAGGTCCCACCTCCCTAAATTTAGCGCGAAGATCAACCACCATGCAGACAGGCAGACAGGGAAGAAAAATGTGAAAATTCTGCGAAAAGCTCATTATAGAAAAATGATTAAATTCCAGTCTCTATCATGGTTACGCACAATATTTCAGCCCCTAAAAGTAGCAAAAAATACGGTAACAAAGACGACGATGTTATACGGACCTTTTCCTTATGAAAGCTATTGGGTACGTCCTGCCGTGTCCGTGTGTCGTATCACTTATGAGAAATAAAAACGCATTGATGACGTAACAGGCAATGTCTATACGGATCAGGAATTTACGCTTGCCAATATTGTCTTTATTTCATTAGGGCTAAATCTGTTTGTTAAGGCCAGCTCAATTTTTGTCAAGGTCGCTGAGATGTAAATAAGGTTAGAGCACGTAATTGTTGGCTAGATTGTAGGTTAGGGTAAGCATCGGGGCTAGGTCCATGGGTTAGGGTTGGGATTAGCGCTAGCCCTGTTTCCATCTCGTGACCTATGTCGAAAAATTGAGCTGGCCGTATCATTTAGCACTAACCATTCCATTGGGGTTTTTCTTGCGTATGCCGCTACCCAGATAAGTTACCTGAACAGAAAAAAAAAGTGCCGCCAAAATTAAAATATTTATAGAGGATGTATAGAGAACAGGACGCTATAAAAACCTCAACTGGCGTGCTTTCGATTTCCTGGTTGTACGTGGCAAGGGGTAGGGTGGCCTGTCCAACCTCGTGGGTTTTCTCCGGGTCCTCCGGGTCGAGTGGACGTTAAACCCCATTTGTCTGTCTCTCTCGCTATAAACACCCGCTACTTCGCGAAAAACGGTGTATCTTTATGTAAACATGTTTATTTAAGTAATTGGTATGTGTATACTACAGGTTGTTTTATGGTGATATACGATCAACAGAGACAATCTGTTGATGTTATTAATGGACGAGAAATTGCCCCAGAAGCCGCAACTTTCGACAAGTATGCCAACAAGTCACCTTTATTTGGTAAGTACTACACATCACCATCTGTTACTTGCAGTGCGTTAAATTCCGCCAACCATTTTGCGTGGGGTTGTGAGTTAGTCTGCGCTGACAACAATTCAATAGTCTGAGCAGTACATGGCAAGGAGCAGGGTCGCCTGTCTAAACTCGTGGGTTTTCTACGGGTCTCCCGGTTTCCTCACACTGCTAAAAACCCCTACGCGCAAGCAAAATGTATCCTATCCATGTATGTTTTCCTATCGGTTCTTGCATAAGATTTACTGTTTAGCGTATCTGTGCTTTAGTGTGTTACGTTTATTTTGATCGGGAGACGTGTTCGTCGACGTCAACGTCAACCGACAACACTGCAAGAATTGGCCGTGGCACTGCAAGAGGAGTGGGTCAGATTGACCCAAATCGTGATTGGACGGTTGATTAGGAGCATGCCACAGGGGCGGATCCAGGAATTTTTGCAGGAGGGGGTTGCCAGGTTCCTGAGAAAATGTATACCACCCCCCCTCCCCCTACGGCTGGAAATTTTTTGAGAAATACGTGGTCTCTACATGGCGTATATACATACACATTGAGCTTTTTAAACAGAGAGATCCAACATCCTGTTTGACGTCAATTTTTATTATGAATTAATACGATGACATTGTGATTCAATTTAATTATTGATGCAAAGCATTAATTGTGATATCACATATGTCTATATCATTATCTCGCGCATTGAGTGCCCATCCTTTCGCACTATCTGACGATAAAGGATAAAGCACAAGCTCATAAAAAAAGGTTGTTTTACAAACAAAAAAATATGTAGCTGAGCAGAGGCGTGCCCCCCCCCCCCCATGGATCCACCCCTGCTGCCACGACGATTTGCTGAATGTCTGAGGATTGGTAGAGCAATTACTCATTATTAAGACAAAAATCAGAAACGTCCATTTTCACTGTGTGGCTCTTTGCGAGTAAAATGGGGCCGTCAGATAAGCCGCCCATATGGAGGCAATTGGCCTGTTACTAACTTACACTGGTTACCTCTAATAAAAACAGCAATGCATTTCCAAAGTTTTTTATTGTTTCTGAATATCCCCTACTTTTTTTTTTGAAGAGTATATGTCAGTTAACCGATTGCTTAGTGGCCAAACATTGAGCTAAAACTACTCACTGCCAGGACGATGATTGGGTAAAACGACAGAACGGGTGACCAGTGTTCGGTTGTATGGTGGCTGATTTAGGACATTTAGGACATATTTTTCTCCTGCGCGCCAGTTACTTATGTCGGCCTGAACATTTAATTATTTCTGAAACGGTATGAGGCAATTAAAGGTCACAATATTCTTCTTCAGTGTGCCGTTATCCCCGAAAGTTACCGAGCAAATCCAGATAAAGTTTATATATAGAACGTATCAAACTTATCCCGGAAGAAATCTACAAAGGTATAGCACCAGCAAAAAATTTGAATAGGCATACTTATCAGAAAACATTTTTGTTTGGTGGGCTCCGCCGCAGTGGCTCAGTGAGTGAATCAGACGTTGGCTCGCTAATTTGAGGGTTCCGTGTTCGATTCCGGTGTTGGCCGAAAAAGCTCATCGGAATTTTCCGACGCGGTTCCTCCTTGTCAGTATCGCTTGGCAAGGTACAAGGTATAGTCGTTCGGATGGTAAGAAAAACCATGTACACCTTAGTGTGCACGTAAAAGAACCCACGTCACTCGCAATTCGATATGTGTAGAGCGGGGCTCCGCTGTCCGTGCGAAATTTCCCTCATAGCTCATTGTCAGTGGCGCCTGGCAAGGGACAACGTATAGTCGTTCAGATGGGAAGAAAAAAACGAGTTCCCGTCTACACCTTGGTGTGCACATAGCAGAACCCATGGCAGTTGAAATTCGATATAAGAGTAGGCCGCAGCAAACTTTCCCCCATCATACACTGTATGGCGTATGCCCGTCTTCATTGTGTACGATGATAACTTAGAAAATAATTATTTTTTCGTTAAGATTCTTGACAAATAAGGAATATCTGATGGAAGTGATGCCTGGTTGTAATATTATTTCTCGTTATAACTCAGTCAATTTTGGCCGATGTTTTTTTTTTTTAAATGACGTCATTAAATTTGGTCTATTTACCTTATTTGGTCTACCAAACACCTGTCATAAACAGATAGAATTTGATGGATATTTTGACAATGGTAAGGATTTTATCTTTCTGAAATTTATATGCCTTATTTACATTAGTGAAAAGAAGAAGCCTTTTGAATTTCAGCAATTTCTGTTTATTACGTCTAGAGTTATGGCCCTTGTTTCACTTTATTGAACCTTGTGAACGCTCTAACGCCAAAAGTTATCACCCAATCTTTGTGAAATTTATATGCATGATTTAAGTTAAAGAAGCGAAGAAGCCTTTTAATTTCAATAATTTCTGTTCATTACGTTTAGAGTTATGGCCCATGTTTCACTTTATTGAACCTTGTGAACGCTCTAACCCCAAAAGTCATCATCCGATCTTTCTGAAATTTATATGCATTATTTAAATTAGTGAAACGAAGAGGCATATAGAATTTCAGCAATTTCTGTTTATTACATCTAGAGTTATTGCCCTTGTTTCACTTTATTGAACCTTGTGAACGCTCTAACATCAAAAGTTTTCCTCCGATCTGTATGTGTCATTTAAATTAGTAAAGTTCTAAAGAGAAGAATTTCATCAATTTCCGTTTATTACTTCTAGAGTTATTGCCCTTGTTTCACTTTGTTCAACATTGTTAATGCTCGATTGATGAAAGTTATCATTCGATATGTATGAAATTTATATGGATCATTTAAATTTGTGAAACAGAGGTCTATGGAATTTCAGCAATTTCCATCAATAATTTCTAGAGTTATGGCGGTTGGGAACCTTGTGAACGTTTGAATGACAAAAGTGATCATCTGGTCTGTATGAAATTTATATGCATTATTTAAATTAGTAAAATGAAAAAGTCTGCCAAATTTTAACAATTTCTGAAGATTACGTCCAGAATTATAATCTAATCTGTATGGATGGAACTGTCTTGTAAAGGCCCCCAATTACCTACAAAGAAATAAATATGCGACCGACCTTGCCACCCACCCAGACGATTTAGCTGCTGTGGGCGTATGTTTCGTTGCCTGGAAACCTATCTTTAAAGTGGGGGATCACGTGGCCAGGACAGAGGGCCTGACAAGGACAGCTGTCTAGTCGTTCGGATGGGACGAAAAACCGAGGTCACGTGTACATATTGGCGTGCACGTAAAAGATCCCTTGGCAGTTGTAATTCGATATAAGAGTAGGCCGTAGCGCCGCTGCCCGGGCAAAATTTCCCTCATAGCACACTGTATGGCGTATGCCCGTCTTCATTAACCCAGTTTAGGAGCAAAACAGTAGGACGTTAAACCCCATTTCATTTCATTTTTTATCTTTAAAGTGATGTCATAAAATTGATTTTTATTTTTAAAAAAAAAGGCAAATCTTTGAAATCATGTCAATTAATGATGATGCCAAACGATTAAGTACGTCGTACGGTGCTAATTTTCAAGGTTTTATCAAAATTGATTAGTAACCAGACGTTTTGTGCAACTTTTAAAAAACCCAGGAAATTTTGCCCAGCTGAAAGTTTTTTTTGTTACAACACAACATAGTGTCAAATGAACGGAGTGAGTGAATCAAAGTAAATGAATATTTTAGCCACGAAATTTCGAGGCATAGACTCTCGGAAATGCAGTCTGGCAGTATTTAAGAGATAAATAGTTGTCTACGATATCACCCTTGGTGGAAGTGGACGCAAAACTCCAGAGCTGACCAGATACCGCCTGTCGCCAAATCTCTAGCTTATGCGATAGGAAAGTATCAAACGAACGGAGTGAGTGAATCAAAGTGAATGAATATTCTCGCCGCGTTGAACCTATAACCCAAAACTTTGAGGATCGTAAAAACACTTCTCAAGTTGTTCGCGTGTTCTGGTTTATATAGATAATCTCCTATGAGTCTTTTTTTAAATCAAAAAAAGACGAGTAGGAGATTTTATTTATCACCCAATCTCTTCTTACATGCACAAATAAATAATATGAAATTTATCACACAAGCGATATCTACTGTAGAATGTATTATTGGGTGATAAAGTAGATTTACAGCAGGATGGGTTTAGTAAGAAATCTATGACTGAGTATGAAATGTGTGAATGTAGCTTTTTCCCACGCTTTGAGTGGCTATTTTCTTTGGTTAATCAGCTAGTGGTACCAAAGTGGAAACAAAGAGAGTTTGTTGTTGCCGCTGCTGAAAGATGGAATTCACTCCCAGTTGAACTCAGATTTGTGACTTCTTTGTCAATCATCAAATCTGGATTAAAGACTCATCTTTTCAAAATTCACTACCGAAATTAACAAAAACTTAAGAGCCAAAATACATTTGTATAGAGTTGTATTTTTGCGCTATAGTCACGTTTTTTTTTGTTTTTTTTTTTTTGTTTTTTTGATTTGGGGCCATGTAAATGGACATATTATTTACCAGTCCGTATAGGAATGTAATAATTAAGGTTTGGAGTAGTCGCCCTTTAAGCTTCTGTAGCTTGTTGTAGCAACATTGTTATTAAATTATATAAACCGACAACGTCCACCCTTTGCATAGAGTCAAACATACTATACTATGGTCACCAAAAAACCTTATTGAATGTTACAAACCTCAACAATTCTCAAGGACAACATTTGAAACTCTTTTTCTTTAAATTGGTAGACAAAATAACTCTTCCTCACAGTGAGTTACGTCGTGTCATTGGGAGATAATCAATATTGGAAGTACTGGAGTTTAAACTGTTAGAATATCTGAAGTAATATACATGTTCAATGATTAGTGTGATTAAAGCCTGAATAATGATTATAATTTGCCTGTGTTTGGATCCCAGCGTGGCTCTAGAAGACGTTTAGAGAATTTTCATTCCCGGATCTCAATGATTTCGGATGTTGCTGGCAAGCAAATCCCATGTACAATATTCATGTTTGTAAGAAAATTTCTCAC